CTCGAGAGGGCAGTTCAAAAGATGTCGCTGTCTTTAAACTGCTAGGGGAATATGTGAGCATGGGAATCGAGGAGATTGCAGTAGGGGCAGGTAAACAAAAGAAGAAGTTACAGAGAAGTAGTGTTAGGAATGATCACAAAACTAAATTAGGCAGGGAGTTTAAAGGTAATCGCGACAAAGGGAGGACTCAGATTACGACTAACCTAAATGTCTACTACGCAAACAGTAGAAGTATGAGAAACAAAATGGCTGGCGTTGGTATGTTCCTAAAAAATCGATATAATAGCATTCACCTAGACTTACGTGAGTTACCTGTCGAATACCAAATTACAGGTTACAAATTACTCCATACCGGTAGGCAGATTAGGAAAGGAGGTGGAGTAACAATCTATGTCAGGGATAATCTGAAGAGTGACATGAATAAGGAAATAAAAACTGAACTGAAAACAGAAATAAATTTGGATATAATCAACCAATGGTAAGGAAAATATTAATCATAGGAGTAATTTATAGACTACCTAATCCTGGAGTTAATGAGCGACTTATTTGGGATGAAATGCGCAGGGCATCCAGACACAGCAAAGTCTGTATAGTAGGCGACTTTAACTTTAGCCAAATAGACTAGACCGACCTTACAAGTAACTCAGAATCAGAGGATTTTCTTGAAACAGTTCAGGACTGTTTCCTAAGTCAACATGTAACCGAACCCGCCCGGGGTAATAATATACTCGATTTAGTTCTGTCAAACAGAAAACCTCGATAATAATGTCAAGGTAGGGAACGAACTTGCTAACAGCGATCACAAAGAAATAAGATTCAGATTAGAATTTAATTGCAGTCGCAAGGAAAATACCATTAGTGTCCTATATATCAGAAGGGAATACTTTGATAGTTTGAAAAGGCAGCTGAGAGACGGAACATCACGTTTGGGGGTGAATTACATGACCTCACATGAGGTTGTCTCACACACACTGTATCCACAGAGGGCGACTTCACTTTACCTAAGAACATGAGAACACAAGAAAATAAGGAGTCTGCAATAGGCAGCTCCTGTCGAGAGTTACTACCACTCTCTATCATCCATGAATCTATCTAGCCTCCTTTTGAAACTTTCCAGCGTTCCAGCACTTACTACAAAGTTGCTAGGCTTGTTCCACTCGTCCACCACCCTATTTGTGAACCAGTTCCTTCCTATCTCCCTCCTAAACCTAAACTTATCCAATTTAAATCCGTTGCTCCGAGTCCTATCTTGCTCGTATATTATAAGAACTTTATCTATATCCCCTTTATTGATTCCTTTCACCCACTTAAATACTTCTATCATATCTCCCCGCACTCTTCGTCTTTCTAGGGAATACAAGTTTAGTTTCTTTATCCTATCTTGATATGGAAGGTTTCTCGGTCCCGGAATCATTTTCGTCATTCTTCGCTGCACCGACTCTAGTGAATTGATATCCATTCTATAATAGGGGCACCAGAACTGAACCGGCTAATCGAGGTGCGGCCTGACTAGCGCAAGATATAGTTGCAATAAGACCTCTGCACTCTTATTACTTACACTTCTATAAAACCCAATTCTCTGTTTGCTTTATTTCGAACATTAACGCACTGTTTTCTAGGCCGTAGGTCCGGGCTTACAAGTACCCCTAGGTCTCTTTCACAAGTCGACTTCTCTAGGTTGATGTTGTTAAGGCTGTATACATTGACAGTATTTGTTCTTCCAATATTAAGTACGCTGCACTCGCTGGTGTTGAATTTCATTTGCCATTTTTCTGACCACCCCTGCAGTTCATTTAAATCCTCCTGTAGTGCATTTGCATCCTGCCCTGAATTAATCTGCCGCCCTATTTTGGTGTCATCAGCAAACTTGCTTATGTCACTGCTGATCCCAGTGTCTAGATCGTTTATGTAGATTATGAACAAGAGTGGGCCTAGTACTGACCCCTGGGGAACCCCACTACACAGCCCCACTCAGATTTAACACCATCTACGCTGACCCAATGCGTTCTATCGGTGAGCCATGATTTTATCCAATTTAAAAATTTCCCCTCGATACCATGAGCCTTAACTTTTCTCAGAAGCCTCTGATGCGGTACTCTGTCAAATGCTTTGCTAAAGTCTAAGTAAATAACATCGTAATTTTCGTCATTATCTACTACCTCGAAGACTAATCTACTACCTAGAAGACCTGGAGACCTGGAGACCTGACAACGATAACCTCACAAAATATGACGGTTGAGGATGACTTGATCACGAGATGTGAAGTTGACGAGTTCCACGACAATTTAATTAATGAGTTACTTAATGCACAAAGGCAGAACATACCATACAAAAAACTCAGATTAATTAACAATGACCCTAAATGGATAAATAATTATTTAAAGAACATCATTGGACAAAGGAAGGCTATGGGTAAGAGAATAAATCGTGGTGAAGTTTACCTCCGAGATTATTACAAGGTATTGGCCGGTGGGGTTAAGACCGAGATAAGAAATGCAAAGAGGAATAATGGACTGAAGGTAGCAAGAGAGGTGAAGTCAAATCCCAAGGGAATGTTTCAGATGTATCTAACCAAAACACGAGACAAGATTGGCCAATACAGTCAGATACCGGCGAGCTAACTGATGACGACGGAGAAATGAGCAATAATTCTAAATAAATATTTTTCAACAGTTTTCACCACCGAAAATTTAAACATGATACCCGAGGCACCGACTCTATTCAGAGATAGAGAAGAAAATATATTAATCGAGATAGTAGTGACTAGTGACGATGTTAGTAAGCAAATAGACAAACTAAAGCCTAATAAGTCACCTGGTCCTGATAAGATATTTGCCAGAGTATTAAGGAAGAATTTAGTATGCCCTTAGCAAAGTTGTTTAACATGTCCTTAAAAACGGGTATACAGTATTACCTGAATCATGGCGGATAGCGAATATGATACCGATTTTCAAGAAGGGAGATAGATCAATATCCTCTAACTACCGTCCAATCAGTTTAACATCAATTGTAGGCAAATTGCTGGAAACGATAATTTCAAACTTCAAATGTTTGTATATTTGTTTAAATAATGAAGAAAACTATATTGATGAATTGGCAACTCGGCTACAACCACAGCTGCCACAAGATTCTCACAGCAATTATACGAACATTTGGAAACTTCTCATGACCTCAAATAACAATGAAGAGTTTATTATTATAAAAATTCTACTTCTGGTTTGTTTACTATTTATCCTGACAGTGATACAGCCGAAAATAGATCCACCAATCACCTTTACATAGAGCCTTCCTTTACCAAGTATTGACAGGTAAAATTGCGAACAAGAGACCCAGGGTGGGGTTGGTGCATCTTTGGCTGAGTGCACAGTCATCCAAAAAAGTCCTGTCGCGAACCACGAACCCAGAGATTCAGACTCGTAAACCCGAAGCAGTAGAAACTGATACATTATTCTGTCCATAAATGCTTCGGATTCAAGAGTCTGAATCTCGGGGTTCATGGTTCGCGACAGGACTTTTTTGGGTGACTGTACCTTGGCAGTGCAGGTATACAGTGTACCTAGACAGTGCAGGTATATAAACAATGTATCTAGACAGTACAGGTATATAATCAATGTATCTAGACAGTGAAGGTATATAAACAATGTATAGAGACAGGGGCCCATTGCAACCCCATTGCAAGTTCGCCCCATTGCAGTTGCACATGCCCAGTTCGCCCCATTACAGTTCGCCCATTACCCAAGTTCGCCCCATTGCAAAGTTCGCCCCATTACCAAATTCGCCCCCATTGCAATTCGCCCCCATCGCAAATTCGCCCCCCCATAGCAAGTTCGCCCATCGCAAAGTTCGCCCCCATCGCAATTCGCCCCCATTGCAGTTCGCCCCATTACCGTTCGCCCCATTACCAGTTCGCCCCCCTCATTGCAAGTTCGTCCCCCCTCATTGCAAGTTCACCCCCCATTACCAAATTCGCCCCATTGCAATTCTTCCCCATTGCAATTCGCCCCCATTGCAGAATTAACCCCTATTGCAAGTTCACCCCCCATTGCAAAGTTCGCCTCCCCATTGCAAGTTCGCCCCCTCATTGCAAGTTAGCCTATTGCATTCAACCCCCCCATTGCCAAGTTCCCCCCCCATTGCAGTTCGCGCCCCCCATTACCAAGTTCGCGCCCCATTGCAGGATTCGCCCCCATTGCAAGTTCATCCCCCATTGCCAAGTTCGCCCCATTGCAAGTTCGCCCATTGCAAGTTCGCCCCATTGCAAGTTCACCCCCATTGCAAATTCGCCCCCATTGCAATTCGCCCCATTGCAATTCGCCCCATTACCAGTTCGCCCCCTTGCAATTCGCCCCATTGCAAATTCGCCCCCATTCCCAAGTTCGCCCCATTGCAAGTTCGCCCCATTGCAAGTTCGCCCCCATTACCAAGTTCCCATTGCATTGAGATTCGCTGCAAGTTCGCCCCCATTACCAGTTCGCCCCATTGCAAGTTCGTCCCATAACGAGTTCGTCCCATAGCAGGTTCGTTTCATAGCAGTTTCGTTCATAGCAACTGTCCCATAGCAAGTTCGTACCATTGAGCTCGCCCCATCGCAGGCTCGCCCCCATCGCAGGCTCGCCCCATCGCAGGCTCGTCCCAGACAGGCTCCCCATCGCGAGCTCCCCCATCGCAGGCTCCCATCGCAGGCTCCCCCATCGCAGGCTCCCCATCGCAGGCTCGCCCATCATAGAGTTCGCCCCAATGCAAATTCGCCCATTGCAAGTTCGCCCCATTGCAAGTTCGCCCCAATGGATTCGCCCCATTGCAAGTTCGCCCCATTGCAAGTTCGCCCATACCAAGTTCGCCTTATGCAAGTTCGTCCCTAGCAAGCTCGCCCTTAGATTCGCCCCCATTGCAGATTCGCCCCCCACAGCAGGCTCTCCCCCAGCAAGCTCGCCCCCACAGCAAGCTCGCCCCCTTACAGGCTCGCCCCCCAGCAGGCTCGCCCCCCACAGGCTCGCCCCATGCTCGCCCATAGTGAAACCCGCTCCATAGCAGGCCTCGCCCCTCCACATGCAGGCTCGCCCCATTGCAAGTTCGCCCCTTTTAGCAAGTTCGCCCCTTGCAAGTTCGCCCATTGCAAGTTCGCCCGCATTGCAAGTTTGCCCCATTACAAGATTCGCCCCATTGCAAGTTTTCGCCCCGCCAGCAAGTTCGTCGCAGCAGAGTTCGTCCCATGTAAGTTCGTTTCATAGCAAGTTCATTCCGCCGCAAGTTTGTTCCAGCAACTTCGTCCCATGCAAGTTTGTTCCATAGCAGGCTCGCCCCATCGCAGGCTCGCCCCATCGCAGGCTCGCCCCATCGCAGGCTCGCCCCATCGCAGGCTCGCCCCATCGCAGGCTCCCCCCATCGCAGGCTCGCCCCATAGCAGGCTCGCCCCATAGCAGGCTCGCCCCCCTTTGCGAGTTCGCCCCCCTTGCACCGCAGTTCGCCCCTTTGCGATTCGCCCCTTTGCGAGATTCGCCCCCTTTGAGATTCGCCCTTTGCGAGATTCGCCCCTTTGCAGATTCCCCTTTGCAGAGTTCCCCCTTTGCGAGATTCCCCCCTTTGCGAGTTCCCCACAGATTCCCTTGCAGTTCGCCCCATTCAAGAATTCGCCCATTGCAGGTCCGATTCGCCCCATGCAAGTTCGCCCATTGCAGGTTCGCCCCATTGCAGGTTCGCCCATTGCCGAGTTCGCCCTTGCAGGATTCGCCCATTGCGGGATTCGCCCCATTGCGAAGTTCGCCCCATTGCGGATTCGCCCCATAGCAGATTCGCCCCATTGCAGATTCGCCCCATAGCAGAGTTCGTCCCGCCAGGTTCGTCCCATGCAGGTTCGTTCCGCAGCAGGCTCGCTCCATAGTTGGCTCGCCCCATAGCAGGCTCACCCATAGCAGGCTCGCCCCCATAGCAGGCTCGCCCCATGGCAGGCTCGCCCCATAGCAGGCTCGCCCCCACCAGCAGGCCAGCCCCCACAGCAGGCTCGCCCCCGCCAGCAAGTTCGCCCCCATAGCAAGTTCGCCCCTTTGCAAGTTCGCCCTATGCAAGTTCGCCCCTTTGCAAGTTCGCCCCATTGCAAGTTCTCCCCATTGCAAGTTCGCCCTTTTTAAGTTCGCCTTTGCAAGTTCGCCCCTTTGCAAATTCGCCCCATTGCAAGTTCGCCCCATTAAAGTTCGCCCCATTGCAAGTTCGCCCCATTGCAAGTTCGCCCCCTTAAGTTCGCCCCATTACAAGTTCGCCCCATTGCCAAGTTCGCCCCATTAAGTTCGCCCCCATTGCAATTCGCCCCCATTGCAAGTTCGCCCCATTGCAAGTTCGCCCCATTGCAAGTTCGCCCCATTGCAGGTTCCCATTGCAAGTTCCCCCATCAGCAGTTCGTCCCCATAGCAGGTTCGTTTCATAGCAGAGTTCGTTCCACCGCAACTTCGTCCCGCCCGTTCCGCTGACAGGCTCGCCCCATAACTGGCTTCGCCCCATCGCAGGCTCGCCCCATCGCGAGCTAGTCCCACACGAGCTCCCCATCGCAGGCTCCCCATCGCAGGCCCATCTGAGCTCCCCATCGCAGGCTCCCCATGGGCTCCCCATCGCAAGTTCGCCCCATTGCAAGTTCGCCCCATTGCAAGTTCGCCCCATTGCAAGTTCGCCCCAATGCCAGATTCGCCCCATTGCAAGTTCGCCCCATTGCAAGTTCGCCCCATTGCAAATTCGCCCATTGAGATTCGCGTCCCACTAGCCAGGCTCTGCCCCCACTGCAGATTCGCCCCCATAGCAGGCTCGCCCCCACAGCGAGCTCGCCCCCACAGCACGCCATTTAGCACGCTCGCCCCCCCACCATGGGCTCGCCCCCACAACCAGATCGCCCCATAGTGAGCTCGCCCCCATAGTAGGCTCGCTCCATAGCAGGCTCGCCCCATGCGGGCTCGCCCCATAGCAGGCTCGCCCCACATAGGCTCGCCCCATAACCAAGTTCGCCCCTTTGCAAGTTCGCCCCTTTGCAAGTTCGCCCCTTTGCAAGTTCGCCCCATTGCAAGTTCTCCCCATTGCAAATTCGCCCCATAGCAAATTCGCCCCTTTGCAAGTTCGCCCCTTTGCAAGTTCGCCCCTTGCAAAATTCGCCCCATTACCAAGTTCGCCCCATTGCAAGTTCGCCCCATTACCAAGTTCGCCCCCATTACCAAGATTCCCCCCATTGAGTTCGCCCCCATTACCAAGTTCGCCCCCATTTACCAAGTTCGCCCCATTACCCAAGTTCGCCCCCATTGCAAGTTCGCCCCATTGAGATTCGCCCCCATTGCAAGTTCGCCCCATTGCAAGATTCGCCCCATTACCAAGTTCGCCCCCATTGCAAATTCGCCCCATTGCAAAGTTCGCCCCCATTGCAAGTTCGCCCCATTGCAAGTTCGCCCCATTGCAAGTTCGCCCCCATTACAAATTCGCCCCATTGCAAGTTCGCCCCATTGCAAGTTCGCCCCCATTGCAAATTCGCCCCATTACCAAGTTCGCCCCCATTGCAAATTCGCCCCATTACCAAGTTCGCCCCATTGCAAGTTCGCCCCCATTGCAAGTTCGCCCCCCATTAAGTTGCCCCCCATTACCAAGTTCGCCCCCATTACCAAGTTCGCCCCATTGCAATTCCTTACATTGCAATTCGCCCCCATTGCAAATTCGCCCCCATGCAAGTTCGCCCCCATTGCAAATTCGCCCCATTTACAAGATTCGCCCCATTGCAAATTCGCCCCATTGCAAATTCGCCCCCATTGCAAAATTCCCCCATTGCAAAATTCACCCCCGTGCAATTCGCCCCATTACAAATTCGCCCCCATTACAAATTCGCCCCATTGCAAATTCGCCCCATTGCAAATTCGCCCCATTACAAATTCCTTCCATTGCAAGTTCCCCCCATTGCAATTCGCCCCATTACCATTCGCCCCATTGCAAATTCGCCCCATTGCAAGTTCGCCCCCGTTGCAAGTTCGCCCCGTTGCAAGTTCGCCCCGTTACCAAGTTCGCCCCCGTTGCAAGTTCGCCCCCATTGCAAATTCGCCCCCGTTACCAAATTCACCCCCGTTGCAAATTCGCCCCGTTACCAAGTTCGCCCCTTGCAAATTCACCCCATTGCAAATTCGCCCATTTGCAAATTCGCCCCGTTACCAGAAATTCACCCATTACCAAATTCGCCCCCTTGCAAATTCGCCCCGTGCAAAATTCATACATTGCAAATTCACCCCGTTGCAGATTCCCCGTTACCAAAATTCCCCGTTGCAAGATTCGCCCCCATTGCAAATTCGCCCATTAAGTTCGCCCCTTTGCAAGTTCGCCCCCATTGCAAGTTCGCCCCGTTGCAAGTTCCCCGATTGCAAGATTCGCCCCGTTGCAAGTTCCCCCCATTGCAAGATTCGCCCCATTGAAATTCGCCCCCATTGCAAATTCGCCCCCATTGCAATTCGCCCGTTACAAATTCACCCCATTGAATTCGCCCCATTACCAATTCATTACCAAAATTCCTCCATTGCCAATTCACCCCCCATTACAATTCGCCCCTTGCAAATTCACCCCATTGCAAAATTCGCCCCATTGCAAATTCGCCCCATTACAAAATTCGCCCCATTACCAAATTCACCCCCATTACAAATTCACCCCTCCATTGCAAATTCGCCCCATTGCAGATTCGCCCATTTCATCCCCCATTGCAAGTTCGCCCCCATTGCAGGATTCGCCCATTGCAGGTTCGTCCACGTCAACGGTTCGTCCGTAACAGGCCGCCGACGGCTTTGAACACAACGAACACGGCGGCGGCGCAGACACTGGCGACTGAACAACGGCTGGAACACCAGCGACACCGACACTGGCGGCGACACCGGCAGAAAACGTTCCGCCGTGAAAAACGCTGGCGGCGTGTTTGCCAACGGCACTGTTCCGTAACGGCTGGCGGGTCGCGGGCAAAAACGACTGTTCCGCGGCGTTTGCGGCGGCGTTTCCGGCGGGCGTTTCCATAACGTTCCGCTGGCAGACGCGTTCATAAACGGCGTTCCGGCGGCGTTTCCATAAACCGACTTTGTTTCCATAACAACTGGTCACAGGTTTGTTCCATAACAGAAATTTCCTTTATCAGAGTTCATCATAAATTTAACACACAAGTTCAAACCCTTTAGAATAAACATAAGTTATACATTCCATTTATTTGATTCCATTCCATTCCCTTTGATTCCATTCCAAGTCACGGCAAAGTTCAATTCACATGAGACAGGGGATCCCATAAATGAGGTTCTTTATAAACGAACCTTTATAAAGAAAGCGGGCTTGCAAGAGCCTTGCCAGCAAGGTTCGCGCAACAGTTTAAGCAGAGTTCTTGCGGAGTTCTTTACACAGTTTTGAAATTTTCTTGCTGATTTTCTTGGCATTTGCAGTTCCTTTAAGTTCTTCCATTACAGGTTGAGGACTAGTCCCCATTGCGGACTAATTACCGGATACACTTCCATTGGGTTTCGATTCCATTGCAGTTCCAACCCCACAGGACACAGTTCAAGTTCCTTTGATTCCTTTGACACATTCCTTTAAGTTCATGCCAGTTCATTGGGTGCTTGTTATTTTAGTGCTTTGTTTGAGTTCACTTTACAGTTCTTTGACACAGTTCTTTTGCTGAGTTCTTCCATTCCCCATTGAAATTCCAACCCCATTGCAAATTCGCCCCATTAAATTCGCCCCCCATTACAATTCGCCCCATTGCAAGTTCGCCCCATTACAAGTTCGCCCCATTGCAAGTTCGCCCCCGCAAGTTCTTCCCCATTGCAAGTTCGCCCCATTGCAAGTTCGCCCCCATTACCAAGTTCGCCCCATTGCAAGTTCGCCATTGCCAAGTTCCTCCGTGCCAAGTTCGCCCCCATTGCAAGTTGCCCCATGCAAGTTCGCCCCCATTGCAAATTCGCCCCGTAACAAGTTCGTCCCATGTGAGTTCGTCCCATAATAAATTCGTTTCTCATGAAATTCATTCCACCTAAATTTGTTCCATACAACTTCGTCCCGCCAGTTGTTCCAAAATTGTTCCTGCAGGCTCGCCCATCACCAGGCTCGCCCCATCCCAGACTCGCCCATCGCAGGCTCCCCATCGCAGGCTCGCCCCGCCGCAAGCTCGCCCCCATAGCAGGCTCGCCCGAGTTCGCCCCTTTGCAATTCGCCCTTTGCGATTCGCCCTTTGCATTCGCCCCTTTGTGAGTTCGCCTTTGCAGTTCGCCCATTGCGGAGTTCGCCCTTTGCGAGTTCGCCCCTTTGCAGTTCCCCCTTTGCATTCGCCATTGCAATTCGCCCATTGCAAATTCGCCCATTGCGAATTCGCCCATTGCCGGTTCGCCCATTGCAGTTCGCCCATTGCGGGTTCGCCCCATTGCAGTTCGCCCATTGCAGTTCGCCCATTGCAATTCGCTCCATTGCAGTTCGCCCCATTGCGATTCGCCCCATTGCAATTCGCCCCATTGCGAAATTCGCCCCATTGCAAATTCGCCCCATTGCGAAATTCGCCCCATTGCAGTTCGCCCCATTGCAGAATTCGCCCCATTGCAAAATTCGCCCCATTGCAAATTCGCCCATTGCGAGATTCTTCATCCTGAGTTGCGTCCCGCAGCGAGTTCGTCCCATAGCAGGTTCGTCCCTGCAGTTCGCTCCATGTTAGCTCGCCCCAAGCTCGCCTTCCCCATAGCAGGCTCGCCCCTGCGGGCTCGCCCCATAGCAGGCTCGCCCCCATAGCAGGCTCTCCCCTGCCAAATTCGCCCCATTGCAGGCTCGCCCCATAGCAAGTTCGCCCCCTTGCAAGTTCGCTTGCCACAAGTTCTCCCCATTTAAATTCGCCCCTTGCAAGTTCGCCCCATTGCAAGTTCGCCCCTTACAAAGTTCGCCCCATTGCAAGTTCGCCCCATTGCCCAATTCGCCCCATTGCAAGTTCGCCCCATTGCAAATTCCATTACTGCAAGTTCTTCCTTCCCCCATTGCAAGTTCGCCCCCATTGCAAGTCGCCCCCATTGCAAGTTCGCTCTGCAATTCGCCCCCATTGCAAGATTCCCCCCATTGCAAGTTCGCCCCATTGCAAGTTCGCTTCCCATTGCAATTCCCCCATGCAAATTCGCCCCATTGCAGGTTCGCCCCCATTGCAAATTTCGTCCCATAGCAAATTTCGTCCCCTGCAGGTTCATTTTCTGCCATAAGTTCGTTCCCCATTGCTTCTCGTCCCACCTTAAATTCCTTTCGTCCTGCTAGGCTCGCCCCATCGCAAGCTCGCCCCATCGCAGGCTCGCCCCATCGCAGGCTCGCCCATCGCAAGCTCCCCCCATCGCAGGCTCCCCCATCGCAGGCTCCCCCATCGCAGGCTCCCCATCGCAGGCTCCCCCATCGCAGGCTCCCCCCCATCGCAGGCTCGCCCCATCGCAAGTTCGCCCCAATGCAAGTTCGCCCCATTGCAAGATTCGCCCCATTGCAAGTTCGCCCCATTGCAAGTTCCGTCCCAGCAAGCTCGCCCCCAGCAGGTTCGCCCCCCCCACAGCAGGCTCGCCCCCACCAGCACGCTCGCCCCCCCACCAGCACGCTCCCCCCCACAGGCTCGCCCCCCACAGCAGGCTCGCCCCCATAGTAGGCTCGCCCCCCATAGTGAGCTCGCCCCACAGCAGGCTCGCCCCATAGCAAGATTCCTTGCCTTACAAGTTCGCCCCTTGCAAGTTCGCCCTTCAAAAGTCGCCTCCTTGCAAGTTCTCCCCCATTACAAGTTCTCCCCATTGCAAGTTCTCCCCATAGCAATTCGCCCTTTGCAAGTTCGCCCTTTACCGTGCGCCCCTTTGCAAGTTCCTTATTGCAAGTTCTCCCCCCATTGCAGATTCGCCCCATTGCAAGTTCTCCCCATTGCAAGTTCGCCCCATTGCAGTTCGCCCATTGCAAGTTCGCCCCATTGCAAGTTCGCCCCATTCCAATTCGCCCCATTGCAATTCGCCCCATTTGCGTTCGCCCCATTGCAATTCGCCCATTACAGTTCGCCCCATTTGCAAGTTCGCCCCATTGCAAGTTCGCCCCATTGCAAGTTCCCCCCATTGCAAGTTCGCCCCATTGCAAGTTCTTCCCCCCATTGCAATTCGCCCCATTGCAGTTCGCCCCCATTGCAAGTTCGCCCCATTTGTCCAAGTTCGCCCCATTGCAAGTTCGCCCCATTGCAAGATTCCCCCATTGCAAGTTCGCCCCATTGCAGGTTCGCCCATTGCAGGTTCGCCCCATTGCAGGTTCGTCCATGTGAGTTCGTCCCATAGCAAGTTCGTTCCATAGCAACTTCGTCCCGTAGCATTCGTTCCATAGCAGGCTCGCCCATGCAGAGCTCGCCCCATCGCAGGCTCGCCCCATCGCAGGCTCGCCCCATCGCAGGCTCGCCCCAACGCAGGCTCCCCCTATCGCAGGCTCCCCCATCGCAGGCTCCCCCCATCGCAGGCTCCCCCATCGCGGCTCGCCCCATCAGCAAGTTCGCTATGCAAGTTCGCCCCATTGCAAGTTCGCCCCATTGCAAGTTCGCCCCATGCAAGTTCGCTTGCAAGTTCCCTTCCCAAGTTCGTCCACAGCAGGCTCGCCCCCCAACAGGTTCCCCCCACAGCAGGTTCGCCCCCCCACCAGGCTCGCCCCACAGCAGGCTCGCCCCCCCACCTCGCTCCCCCCCCACAGCAGGCTCGCCCCCACAACAGGCTCGCCCCCGACAGGCTCGCCCCACAGTAGGCTCGCCCATAGCAGGCTCGCCTGCAGGCTCGCCCCATAGCAGGCTCGCTTCATAGCAGGCTCGCCCATATCAGGCTCGCCCCATATCAGGCTCGCCCCTCAGCAGGGTCGCCCCATATCAGGCTCGCCCCTCAGCAGAGCTCGCCCATATCAGGCTCGCCCTCAGCAGGCTCGCCCATATCAGGCTCGCCCCCATAGCAAGGCTCGCCCCATAGCAGGCTCCCATATCCAGGCTCTCGCCCATATCAGGCTCGCCCCCCCAAAGTAAGGCTCCCCCCAAAGGGCTCGCCCATAGCAGGCTCTCGCTCGCCCCTCAGCAGGCTCGCTGCCCCATCAGGCTCTCGCCCCCACAGCGCTCGCTCCCAGCAGGCCTGCCCCATACTCAGGCTCGTCTCAAGGCCTGCCCCACATCAGGCTCTCGCCCCCAAAGCAAGGCTCGGGTCTCCCCATAGCAGGCTTCCTGCCCCATAGCAGGCTCGTTCTCAGCAGGCTGCCCCACATCAGGCTCGCCCCATACTCAGCCTGCCCCATAGCAGTTCTCCCTACAGCAGGCTCTGCCCCATAGCAGGCCTGCTCAGCAGGCTCGCCTCCACATCAGGCTCTCGCTCCCACATCAGGCCTGCCCCCCATAGCGTTGCCTCCCCATAGCAGGCCTGCCCCATAGCTGGCTCAAGTTCCTATAAGACTCTCAAGGTTCCATGGCAGGCTCTGTGCTGGTAACATGAGGCATGTTTACCCTCACTGCAAAACAACAACTAAGGTAAGAGTATTTTCCTTGTTGTTAGGGTTAGGTTAGGTTTCTACGTTATTCTCCGTGTAATTTTGCAGAAAAACTCTTGCATTTAATAAGAAATGGATAGGCAGTTTCATGTTCAGCACATTGAAATTACCATAATAAATTCAGTTTTCTTATCGCCCAACTTTAACTGGGCGACAAACGAATATTTACCAAAAACAAAAACAATAGTTCATGAGCTATTATTAACGATGAATTTCAGTGCCAACTCAGTGTAAACCCTGTCACTTCCTTCCTCGATAAAATTTTTATACACATTATATATGGTTCACAACGTCAGCAATGCATATTTATTGAACACTGACCCTGGGTGTTTATCTGTTCCAGCCATAGCTCCAAAACGGAGACCCTCAGGAGATCCAAACCTTATACATATTACATGGGTCCCAAAAGTTGTACACCATGTATTGACCACGGCTCCCCACAGTGCACGCTCCTCCGTGGCCAAGGTCAAACCAAACTGGGCTTGAACTTTCTTGTTAGGTTAGGAGGTTGGACGAAATTATATACAGGGTGCGCCATAAAACATCTGGCGGTTTATTAAATAACATTATAATGCAAAGTGAATGTGGCTTATGAACACGTGAGATACATTCCCACTGCGAACAGTGCTGCGCTTCCATGACCATCGCCCAGGCCGCCGTAGTGGGTAGACTGGTTAAAAAAAAGTCAGGTGTCTATAACGCCCCCGTATAATTCGAATTTGCGTAAATTTTTTGTTGTTTTAGCCCAGCTTAACCTATTTTTTAGCCTGATCAATTTTAAATCCTGACCTATCCTATCCTATAGAATTCAATCAATCATAACCCAATCCCAATCGATCGTAACCCAACTAATCCTAAATTTGAATATATCTAACGCAACTTTGGTTCCAATCTAACCAAACTGGGGAGTTTCAGACCACATATGCAAGGGTGTGTACTGTGCTGTTGTATTTTTTCTAATAGTTTGGTCAATTTACATGATGGAGTTTAGTTATGATCACATTCTCCTACAGAGACACAAAAAATCATTTTCTGTTTGTGACAAATACTGGAGTGGACATATAACACTTTTCACTTGTATTGAGTTATTCAGTATTTCTGTTTGTTGTATAATGCAATTGGCATTATTTGTGTCATAGGTGAAGTAGGTTGTTATTATATCGCTTAATTAGGCTTATTGGTTATTTTAGTATGAAATGAGATTTTTATTTTTTTTTTTAGTATAAGCTGGGAATGGCTTAGCTTTTTAATGCTAATGTCCGGTTATTTAAATGTAAGTTTACGTGGAATCAAGAATGCTTTAATTATGTGAGAAATGAGTTATCTTCGGCGACCTTTTTTATGGAAATATATCAGGTTTTATGTTCAGATTAATAGCTGCTCTAAAGGATAATGTTGGAAGTTTGTTAGAAAAATGTGGGCAAGGTGTTGAGTATTTAGGGGAAATATTTCTGCCTTGCTCACCAGAGAAAATCTTGGATATATATATTGTTGTAGATGATATTTTGTGGACATTATATCCCCCTCTTCCCATCCTTTTTCTCATCTCAGTGAAAATAGTATCTACAATTTGTGGAGACAGATAACTAGCAATAAGTAACAAGTGAAGAACCATATTTTAACAACTTGTCAATACTTTTTCTACTGAAGGAACAATGATTTTTACCTCTAGTGATTTTTATTTATCATGGCAGCAGTCTCCAAACATATATTTACAGGGCTTTTTATCAGTTATTATGATAAATCCTTGTACAGTATCTATCAATGGTTTATTTTTACAGGTTGAGACAACAGTGTAAGGTAAGTGCAGGTTGTCAGTTTTATAGATGTAGGATATTATATCGGAGGTGGAGTTTTAGAGATGTAAGATCTCATTATGATAGGTGCAGTTTTGAAAATGAAGTGAATAAATGTATAATGTATCATTCATAATTTTATGAAATGGGGATAAACTTAAATATTGAGCCTTGCTTTATCCGGGAGCAAATTTTATATTTTTGTTGGTTGTACTTTTTACTAACACTGCTGACCCGCCAGTACTGGAAACCTTCCGGTGTTAACGTCAGGTACTGAGATAAACTGCTTGCAGCGATGGTAGCCATAAGGTGCTGCCCGGTATCAGCTTGCAATATTCAGGTTTGTACAAAGTATAACTAACATTTATTTTTTATCGAGGTATTGTAGTGTTTGATTTTCAGATAAAGGTAAAGTTCATGTTTTTATATATATATACCCATACTTTTGGGTAATTTTGTTCATGTACGTGCTGTAAATTTTATTTTCAGATACATGTAAACTGTATTTGGGGATGATGTAAACAGGTATTTTTGTTTTGTTTTGTTTATCTTAAATGTAAAGTTTGTGTCAGAAGGTATGGTCGAAGATCTATTTCGTTTTTTTTACGAAATAACAGTATTTAGTGTGTGCAAGAAAAACATTGGTTCTCGTCATTCACTTAAGGTTGAATTAAGGTTTTATATGTTAATTTGATGAAAATAGATCCGTCGTATTCATTGGGTTTTTATCGACACATCGTTCCCAAAAACCGCAATTTCAGGTGGACGCTTTGATTGTTATTCATGATATGCACCTCGTTTATCAGCACTATTTTGCCTTATAGTGAAGTTACTAAATCATTTATTGACATTTTGGGATGTCATAACTATAACCATCAAATGCACTCATTCAGAACTAGTGATAAAAGTACCTGTGATTAGTCATCGAGACCAAACAATTCAGATAATTTCAAGGCTGTCTTTGTCCTTTTAACTATGATTTTTTTTTCCATTCATAGATTAAGCATTATTTTTATCCAGCTTGAATGGGACATTTTTTATCCATTTTTGATTGACATTTGTTTTTCCATTTTTGGATATAAATAAAGTGGGACAGTCTTATGGGGAAACCACTTAAAAAAAACGCAGTAACTGGTGACTACCTTGCGGGTGCTGTGAAATGTCACACAGTGTCAGATCTGTGCCTAACGTGTGGTAGAGGCAGATATTGATTTTATTAATTTGTCATAGAAATCCATTTCTTTTTATTATTCATGTTTAATATTGTACATTCAACTTACAGTATATCCGTTTTTCTATTAATATCCACCCTTGTTTTAAGTAACAATGCTTCAATACTTGGCATTCAGTCAGTTTCATTAAATAATAAGTCTCATTTAACCTTAAGGAAATAGCAAGTCATCTCTGTACATTAAAGCTAAGAAGGAGACGAATAGTCATCATCCGTCATGACTTTATTATCAGGCGTAAAGTCATGATTGTTTACTATTTGTTGTTCTCAACCAACTCTGTTTATATATATTCAGTTGAGTTAAATAAAAGCCTGGCTACTTATTACAAACACTGTACTATTGATAGTTACCTGACTGCCCACTTACTTCCACCAGCCACACTTGAGGCCCTGGGCTGACTTATAAATTATTTAAAAGTTAATTGCTTGAGTGTCTATCTTATATTTGTCAATCTCTTCTTGTTAACTATGTATTAACAAAAAATCCACTTTTCTGGACACCTCGGCCCTCAGTCAGCTGGTGTGTTCGGTTATGCTCAACACCCGATTCTGACAGAAGGTAACCTAGTTGGAGTTCCTTTGCATTATAAGGGTGAGGTGCCAACACGAGCTATACGCAGCCAACACGAGCTATACGCCAGCTAACACGGTTGCCGTGCCAACACGAGCTATGCGCTCGTGCTGGTCGAGCTTATGCCGTGCCAACACGAGCTATGCGCCGTGCCAACACGAGCTAT